AGTAGAAATAAATGATTTGAAAAATAATTATATTTTTAACTTAACCAGGTGTCAATACCATAGTTTACTCACTGAAAATTTATAAACGCTTGCATATATAGTTACAGTAAAATCTCACTATAATGATTTTTTTATACTGAAATATATTTATATTAACTATTCAATGTTTACTTGGCATGCAATATTCATACATTGGCAACCTGGCACGTCTATTTCATTTTATTCCTTGAATCGGTTGCACTTTGGTAAAAAGCCGCCTCAACAGGTGCAAGTAGTAAATGCTTCTACAGTAAAGAATGCCGCAGCAATAACAAAAGATAGTAATTTAGACTGTCATAAACTGCAAATAGCAAAATATTTTTCTTCGAACACCTATAATATTTTTTGTAGTCTATCCCGTAACAAAAACATCATAACCCGATCCGTATTTTATCTAATGATCACACAGCCGTATCAAACATAATTTGTTGCTTCTGATACCAAGGAGAAATGTTTCTTTGTGAAAGATTTTATTATCATTCAGCGGATTCGGCTGATCAGACACGATAGGCGGGTTTTAAGATAAAGGTTAACTGTCATGATATCTAAATTGCAACATAAGTGCAATGTTAGAACAAAGCAAATGGGACTTTCTACGCGGAACGGAGAATCAAAAAAGGTTTCTCTTATATCATATCATATATTTTTTCAATGTTATAGTATGGTCTACATGTCCTTGATAAAATTATCATTAAATATATTTTATCAATGACTTAAGACATTTTGAAAATATCACCTTTTGATAGGCATGCGCTAATTATGGGCGATTATCAAGTCGTAAAATTATAGATTTAAATAATAAAGCTGCTGCGAGAGCGCATATTATGATTTTGGTATTAATTGTTAGCGTGACAACATCAACGAGTGGGACGGCTCGATCAGTGAAATACCACAACCACACAGAAAAGAGTCTCTAAGTATGATTTTTTATAATATACTCGAATACTATCGTTCCTTAACAAAATCAAACATATTCAAGTTTATTTCATAGCGTCTATTTAATGTTTTAAGCTCGTCGTTTCATTCGACATGACACATGTTATGTCACTAAAAATAATATAATTTAAATGAACGCAAATAAGTTTATTAGATCAGGTTAAATTTGAAATCATAGTTATGTTTCCAAGAAAGATAAAACAAGGTAAATTATAAAATATTATGTTGCTTAAATGATAAATATTTGTTGTTATTTATAATTCTAAAACATACTTTAATTTTTTAATTTATAATTATCATATGACTAAGTAAAATATTGGTAGAAAAAAATTAAAACTTCCGATGTTTTTCGTTGTTAATTTTAAAACAGAATAATTTTAAAATGAAATAATGGAGTCTGAAGTAACGCTGCTTTCGTTTCGAACGACAACAAAGAAAATAATATTTTTATTGAGTCTATTGTTACAACGCTGACCATGTTCGAAAATAAGAGTTAAAGGCTGCACCCTATTGGTTATTGTTTCCGCGTCGTGGTCTCAATGCGTACGAAACGTTTAAACGACTATTGCCCTAGAGGTGGAACACCGGGAAGTTCCGCGATTATACATGGCTTTCCCCATCCTGAGAGATGGTCAGTGATGTTTAGAAAATGTGTTTCAATCACTGGAATTATAGAGCCATAAACTGATGTGTCTGAAATTAGTAGGTGGGTCCATATATGGGGTGTATATGTAAAAATATTTTTTTATTTGTAATTTTGTTTTGTAAAGAAAAATGTGCTTGCCTATGTTGTAAGTAAGAGAATATGTTCAGAGTGTCTAAACTTGTAAATAACTACAAATTGCGAGCTTGCATGTGACTGAAAAAAATTTGAGGTTTGGTTTTAATTACAGGGTATGCATTCTTTTGTGACCGCGCTATACTATTTATTACCGTAAATATAATTTTCAAAAATATACATTAAAAATAAAAATATTGAGCTAATATCTTGAAAGTCATTGATGTATATGTACATACATAAAATATCAAGTGTAGTCTTAGTTCTAGTAGTACTTTATTTGATATGTAGTGAGATAGAATAATAGTCAAAACAACAAAATATAGTACTATTGTACAAAAAAACACAATGTAATTACCACATGGTTTTTGGAAATCTTCTCGGAAGGAAACATCAGCTTTCTAACTCTCAAAATTATAATACAGTTCATTCTACAATTCACACTAAAACTACAATCTTCTTCTTCTTCTTCTTCTTCTTCTTCTTCTTCTTCTTCTTCTTCTTCTTCTTCTTCTTCTTCTTCTTCTTCTTCTTCTTCTTCTTCTTCTTCTTCTTCTTCTTCTTCTTCTTCTTCTTCTTCT